TGCAGTCTCCATCTCACTACCGACGACCCAGACCTTGTCACACCCACCTATGGTCGTATTTGCAACGACGATAAGACCGCCCACTTCGATTGACAGGAGGCGATTCTCCAAGGTTTCTGTGAAGACATCCAATGAATTCTCAAGAAAGACAACATTCTCTAACCGAAGTCTGACTGATAGTCGAAGCAACTTCTGGACTGCGATCCGGTTCAATTTCACATTGACGAGACTCAACGTGTCGAGACTGGAGGCCCAGATCGGACAAAGAAGCTGGAACCATCCCGACACTAGCCCTATTTGAGTCATGGACATGTGAAGCGCGTTGTTCTCTGCGAGCGATCTTCCTGAAAAGATCAGATGCCGTAGATTTGGACAACGCAAGGTGTTGGGCATGACGAAAGTGTCGTGGGCCAGCCTTATCTTCAACGAGTCGCTGCTATACGCATCGGACTTGTCGCCACTGTCAAATCTGTATTCCAGTGTAGTGAGATGTGAGAGTACCATGTTTCGGTTGGAAAACTGACGAAGCCTAGTGTGTTGAAGCTGATAGAGGCTTTCCAGAGTCGCTGGCCCTGGCGGTGATCTATGTGTCTAAGCAACGCGTAGAAGATGTTCATGGAGTGTCTGCTTTGAGATTTCGCGCAGGTGTACGATAGAGGATAATTTTGAGCGAGGCCAAATGAAGGGAGAACAATGTTGCCTGTACTGATTCCGCACGGCTTTTGATAGGAGAATTGTTCCGCGAGACGCAAGCTGTTAGTATCCCTGAGTGGTGTATGCTTCGTGTGCGCTCTATCTATGAAAATTGGAAGCATGCTGCGGGTAGGTCGGTAGCAAACTGTTTCCAAGTTGATGAACTTGGTCATCCAACCTAGGCTGTTATCTTCCAACCATGTAGACCAAAGACAGGAATCCGTCATCCGGTTGTGTTGACAAGGGCGTTGGAACTCGAAGTCACGATAGCTTAGGCCTGCTCTCTCGAATTCTGCAACTTCCAGTCGTCTGGGCGCCGCATCTTTGTACACCACAGCCTTTACGACCTTCGCTCGAGCTGGATCATCAGCGATGCCTTTGAGTACGGCCAGGCTATCTGGATTTGGCGCAAAGCACACGGTGCGATAGAGATGTTTCTGGAACCCCGGTTTGTTGCAGGCCTTGGAGGTCAAGAGGAAGCTGATGACATCGTGGGAACTCTCGTTGTTATCACAAATCACGTACTCTAGTATGACATCGATGAGCTCGTTCGGGAACGGCAGCTTACTGCGCAGTGGAGTTACCGGTGAGCAGTTCTCGTCGTGAAGTCGCAGATGACGTGGCTTATTCATGACGCGAGTTTGGCTATCGGCTGGCGTGATTGGCCAGGGTACCATACGATCCATATCAGCTATGAGTTGAACGGGTTTTGAGAGTCGATGTCGGCGTCAGCGACTGATATAGATATATACAGATGCCCGTCTCGCGTGTCGCGTGGACCACACCAAATGAACGAACGGCATCACGTGTCGCTTAGCCGTTGGTATAGCCCTCGTGAGCACTGACAATCGATGAGAACAGTGATAGTAGTAGAGCCGAAAGCTTTGCGACTCTTTTCGGTGTTCTGGCTTGCACTGAGAAACAAGTCGTGGTTTCCTGGGTGTGATGTATGCATACTCCGCACGCGTAGCGACATGGGTCTAGCCCCAATGTGGGGCCTCTCACAATTGGGTCAAGTACGCTTGGAGCGCATATCTGCAGCCACGTTTGTTGGAGATGTGCAGACCAAGAACACAACGCTGTATCGCAGTTCTTGACGGTTTGTTGATTGCCCGAATGTCCTGAAGAGTGTCGCGAAAGAGCCAGCCGTCCGCGACTTCGTCTCTTACTCACCATGGCAACAAAGTCGACGAGCACAACCGACTTTGAACTTCGCCCTGCAAGACTCTCAGATCTTTCTTCGATAGCGACAGTATGGGCAGCGGCATTCTTTGACGATGAGATCATCGGCGTGATCATGCATCCGCACCGAGATAAGTATCCTGACGACGTATACTGGTTCCTGCTGCGTGGCATTCGAGAACGGTTCTGGGACTGGCGACATCGATTCCTGGTCGTGGCAGACAGTGGAAAGGTCGTCGGAGCAGCGGACTGGAGGAGGCTTGGGAAAGGCGGCCAAAGCATGGAACTGGGTGCGACAGATCCACGTATGTCCATCAAAGTATTCCGCATAGCCTATGAGCGCGCAGCTGGCCCTATCTGACCTCTCTATTCGCAGGTAATCTCATCGCGTCGGTCGTGAAGACATACCACTCCATGTCTCTAGCGCTCTTCCCCAATCGCGCGGCTGATCCTACGCGCACTTCCTTCCTCGACACCGCTGTCGCAAACTCTGAACAGTACTGGGCTGGCCATCGTACTGAATGCTGGGACTTGCACGTTTGTGGTGTACACCCAGACTACCAAGGTAAAGGTGTTGGAAAGCTGTTAGCCACGTGGGGTGTACACGAAGCGCAGAAGGAGGGCGACGAGGTTGTCGCTAGTGTCTTGTGTGGAGAGAAGAATAGAGGATTTTACGCGAAGGCTGGTATGGGTGTTCAGGTTTCGGAACCGAAGGGCGATGGAGGCGGCATCGCGTTATTCACGAGATAGATCGCGCCGACGACGCGTGTCAGCCAATGAGCATTGCCGGAGTTGTGCCGGCGGCATGGCGTCTCCAGTGACGCGCCTGCGACTACCATCTCTTCCTCCCCATCACGTAGCGCTTTCCATCATCACATTCATCTCTTGCCCATCGTTAATCGTTCCTTGTGAATCGATGAAATAGCACCCAGTACCGCAATGGAAATGAGAAGGAATGACCGAAAATGCCGACCGCGCGGACCGAGCGTGACTGCCTGGCAGCAACACAAAGCTGCTGCCACCCGCCGTATTGATGACTTTCAAACAGCGATATACCCTCCTCCATCAATCACTCTTATGCCAGGATACAAAATATGAGATTCGCTATTACATTCGCTGCGGGTGTCGTGCTCCATCATGCTGTCTTCGCCAGGCATCGCGAATGGGACCGCCATTCAGCCACCATCTTATCCTCAGCATGTGTCCTCTTCGCAGCTACAGTCGTAGCAGTCGCTGTTGTCCGGAATGCCTCCTGGATCTCTTCTTTCGCTTGCGTGGGCGTCGCGACCGCATCCTTCGTCAGTGGCGTCCTCAGCTATATGACGGTGTATCGACTATTGCTACACCCTCTCAGATCATTCCCCGGACCTATAGCTGCACGGATCACTAGCCTATGGATCATCAAGCAAAACGTCCCTGATCTCGACCTATACGTCAAGATGCGCAGCCTGCATGATCGATATGGGGACTTTGTGCGAATAAGTAGGTTTGGAGAGCATTTAGACGAGTGCGTCGTTGACCTGGTCTAGGGCCACGCGAGATTTCGATCTGCCATCCTGATGCGATAGCGGACGTACACGGACCGAGGAGCAAGATCCTGAAAGGCGAATTCTACGATCAGACCTATCCATTTCATAGCCTCCAATTCATCCGCGATACGAACCTCCATAAAGAACAGCGTCGGTACTGGGACAGAGCTTTTCATAGTTCAGGTTAGTGATCTTCGCTTTCGTTTGCTTCCAAGCAACCAGGGTCGAGCATACACCCCCTTCTGTCCTGCCACTTCTGGTTCCACGGGACCAACGTCGCCAGCTAGCATGATAGAATGTTAGACTATCACAGCTGACAGCTGTAGCACTACTGCGATATGAGCCACGACTTCTAAGACACTATCGAATAACTGCCAGTATACTCACGAGCCATGCGGTATCAAGGAAACCGATCGACGTCAGCAGTGCCTTCTTAGACCTGTTCTTTGATGTCATATCGGACTTGACATTTGGCCAGTCTTTCGACACACAGACCACGAAGCAGCGAAGTCTGATCGTGGCAGAGTTCCTTAGCAAGCAGAAAGCACTTGGCTTCGCGTTGCTGAACATGCCTCTACTCCATCTCGCCAAGAACCTTCTCATGTCCGTGAAGAAGCAAAAGTCCTGGGAAGGTTGGTATGATGAAGCATTGAAGGCCCGCAGTAAGGTAAGTCAGCCAAGCTCTGACGGACTCCCAATCTTAATGCTCATGTGGGAAGAACACTGTTTCAACGTCGGACATATACAAATACCTGCCGCAATCTGAGGTCTTCAACGGCAACGCTCTCAGAAACGCAAAGTTAGCTATCGTTGCTGGCGCTGATACAAACGCTATCACAATGTCTAACATTTGCTATCTGCTATGTCGCCATCCCGAGTACCAGGCGAAGCTCCACGATGAGTTGTCAGGCTTACAATCTCTTTTTTTCAACGGCCATGATCTCAAGAACAATCCTTACTTGACTGGCATCATCAACGAAGCATTGAGATTGTATCCGCCCGTCCCCTCCGGTCTTCAGCGTGTGACACCCGCAGGAGGCGCAGTCGTCGCCGGCCGACATATACCGGGCCATGTGAATGTCACAACGCCCACGTACGCGCTACATCGAGGTAGATCTGTCCCTCCCACTTGATGCAGCTTGAGCTGACCTTTCAGATCCCCGCGCGTTCGTTCGACCTGACGAGTTCATACCCGAACGCTGGTCCTCGCGCAGCGACCTCATCCTTCGCAGAGACGCATTCGTGCCATTTGGATACGGCGCGTACAGTTGTGCAGGCAGGTCCTTAGCTACGCTACAATTAAGCATGGTGCTTACCATGATCTCCCAAAGGTTTATCATTGCATTTGCTCCTGGCCAGGAAGCTCTATGCCAGTACTTCATCGATCATCAAGCCGACTGCTTCACGCTACACCTTGAGCCCCTTCCTTTGCTGTTCGAACGAAGAGGCGTGTGAGTAATACCAAGGTGCATCTTTTATCGCGATGTGGCTGGCACATGACCGCATGCTACAGCGGCGAAGATGAAACATTGCTACCACTGAATCACAGCACCCCCTTTTCCCCCCGCTTTGACTTCAATCAGACGAGCCGAAATTATGGGCTTCATGAAGCAAGGCAGCCATCGTTCCCTCGGCAGGCGCCGCACTCTGCACGACTTGCGACATGCAGCGCGCAGCCCTAAGCAACCTGCGAATTCCGATCAGACATTAGTGCAAACAACAGACGCCACGTCGCGACTGAAGAAACGTGCAAGCACATTCGGCATCAAAAATGCGCTCACGAAGCTACGCATCATCAAAAGCAGCGCAGCCCCAACGCAGCCAGTCTGGACCCAGTATGAGCTTGTGAAACGCATAGGCTCCGGTGGAAACGGCCTCGTAGATCTCTGCTTCGACACCTCAGCCGGCATCCTCGTCGCAGTAAAGACTCTGACCCTCCCAAATCCCGCCGCACCTCTAGCAGAAGCAATGATTCTGCAAAACCTGGGCCGCCACGGCAACATCATCCGATACTACAACAGTGTCCTGAGTCCACCGCATCCTTCTCGGAAATCTACCTCATGGCGTTTATGTTGACTATCAAGATCGGCGACCCTGGTGCTATCATGGCAGCATACAACAAGATCAACGGCGTACATATTACCGAAGATGAGCGAATCTTGACCGGAATCTTGAGGGAAGAATGGGGCTTCCGCGGTCTAGTCATGAGCGATTGGTGAGTAGCTTGACGCTTTCACGCTTGAGAGTATGCTTTCGAGAAGACGCAAACGCTGACTTCCTAATGAATAGGCACGGTCTATATGCAACAACAAGTCCGATACAAGCAGGGCTAGACCTCGAGATGCCAGGGCCCAGCCAATGGAGAGGGAAAAGCCTAGCACACTCACTCCTAGCCGACCGCCTCAGCACGCGTGCCCTTGACAACTGCGTGCGGCGCGTCCTGAACATGGTCAAAGAAGCTGCCCGCTCCAACATTCCTGAGAACGCGCCTGAAGAGCCTTTGAACCGCGAACAAGATCGCAAACTACTCCGTCGCGCTGCAGCCGAATCGATCGTCCTGATGAAGAATGAGAGCAAAGTGCTTCCGCTTGATTCCAACAAACCCGTCGCCGTGATAGGTCCAAACGCTGCTATCGCAGCATATCGCGGTGGCCGCATTGCCCATCTGCGACCGTACTATGCAGTGACCCCACTAGAAGCCATTACCCAGCGAAGCAAAGGAGAAGTTCGTTTCTCCCGTGGAATATACAACCACAAAGAACGACCTCTTCTCGGCCACCAGCTTCTCACCAACTACGCGGAGCCACCAACCATTGCGTCACGTACCCCAGTCGACCAGTACGAGTTCCTCAACTCATGTGGATACTTCCTCAACTACGAGAATATGGATCGTGTCGATGGCCAGAACTGGCACGTGGACATCTCAGGGCGCCTCGTTGCAAGCGAAACAGGGCCCTATGACTTTGGCGTTAGTGTGCAAGGTACCGCGAATCTTTACGTCGACGGGAAACTCGTTGTAGACAATACCAAGGACCAGCAATTTGGCGAAGGCTTTTTCCGCGCGGGTACCGTGGAGAAAGTCGGTACTGTCCACCTCACCAAGGGCGAGACATACGACGTCCTAGTGCACTGGGCTGGTGCGCACACGTCTGATCTCATCAAGAATTCGCCACTTACCTTTCATCCTGGCGGGCTACGACTAGGCGGATGCTACCAGATGGATGTATCGGCTTCAATCCACGCAGCTGCGGCGCTAGCGGGCCAGGTGGACCAAGTCGTTGTTCTGGCGGGCCTAATGGGAGACTGGGAGAACGAGGGCGCGGATCGACCCAACATCGAGCTTCCACAGCACACTGGCGAGCTCATTGAGAGTGTACTGGATGCGAATCCAAACGCTGTCATCTGCATTAGTTCAGGGAGTCCAGTCACGATGCCGTGGGCTGGTCGTACCAAGGCTTTGCTGCACGTTTGGTATGGGGGTAACGAGACGGGACATGCGATTAGCGATGTTTTGTATGGCGATGTCAATCCGTCGGGTAAGCTACCGCTTTCCTTTCCGCTTTCGTTGCGCGACAATCCTACATGGCTGTGTAGTCAGGCAGAGAGGAAGCGTATACTGTATGCCGAAGACGTGTACGTTGGATACCGCTTCTACGACACGATGGAGAAACCTGTACTCTTCCCATTCGGTCACGGCCTGTCATACACCGAGTTTCATCTCTCCGGTCTGAAGCTCGAAGTGAAGGGTTCGAAAGAGAAGGCGGTGATTACGGCGCAGGTCAAGATTGACAACCTGGGTGACCGTGACGGCGCGGAAGTCGTGCAGGTGTATATCGCACAGCAGAAACCCAGTGTTGGTCGTCCGGCGAAGGAGCTCAAGGGATTTGAGAAGAGCTTTGTTGCCAAGCAGTCTAGTACTACAGTCGCAGTTGAGATGGAGCTCAAGTATGCGTTAGGGTTTTGGGACGAAGCGGAAGGTCGCTGGGCTTGTGAAAAAGGCGAGTATGATGTTTTGGTTGGCACGAGCAGTAGAGCAGACTTCCTCCGAGATACTTTGGTTCTTGAAGAGACGTTTTGGTGGGCAGGTCTATAGATGAACTGAGAAACATATGCTATTCTCATTTCTAAGGAAGCAGGCAAAATGCGTCTGTTCATCAACCCGAAACACTACAACCAGAATCTATTCAAGCTTCATGGCTATCACGACGTTGCTTGATCTTCTCTTCAAAGTCCATACCCATGGGCAATGTCTCATTCAAACCAGCAAGCGTAGTCTTGATAGTTCCCAAAGCAGCTTGGTGGCCTTTCACTACATCGACAAAGTCTGCCGTCGCCAGCAACAAATTGAAGTGCTTCACCCATGAGTCCTCGGCCGCGGATATCTTGAACGATACTGTCATGAGCGGCTTTCCATGACGGTACTTGACGCCGATGAGCCTATTGACGGCATCGAGAAACCTCGGGTCGTCGCGTTCGCCGTATTTGCGTGCTGGCACGCCTAATAAGAGACGGAGATCTCCGGGTCCCAGCATGAGGCAGTCCACACCATCTGTAGCGGCAATGGCATCTGCGTTGTCCATTGCTAACTTGAATCAGTTAGCACGAGGTGTGACTGCCGTCTCCGCACTGATGACATACCTGGCTCTCGATCTGGCAGATAACTGCGATGTGATTGTCTGCTACTCGATCGTGTGTCAAACCGTGGGGCGCTGTGTCTGTGATGCCAGGCACCAGGGCGCATGGCGATAGTGATCGGTCTCCACCAGAGGTTGCATAGCGACACTTGGACACGGCTTCGGCAGCTTGCTCGGCGGTATCGATATGTGGGAAGATGATTCCTGCAGCGCCTGAATATGGATAAAGATGCGATGATTAGCCTTTGTTGAGAAATACTGTCGCATCAGGAATGTGTCGGTCTACGACGATGCATGTACTATGACAGTCATGCAGCTGAGTGGACATATGTAACATACCTGCATCAAGCGCATGCGTGAGGAGGTCCGAGTGTGCAGATAGAACGCGTACGACGGCAACCGTTTTTCCTTCGCTACAGAAGTTGATGGTGTGGATGATGCGGACTAGGTTCTCGGCATCGATTGGACTGGAGTAATGTTAGAATTGTGGCGTGGGCTCCAGTGTCTTCATCACTTACGTATGCAGCGCATCGACCATGACATAATCCATGCCCAGCACAGCAATGGTACGGGCGACCATTGTATGCGGGAATGCCATGATCGAGCCAAAGAGGTAAGACGGTGGAGCGGAAGGGTCCATAGTCTTCCGCATGGCATGAGCCAAATTGGAAGGTTGAAAAAGTGACGTCGCTCGGTGGTGCTGCATGTCGCCGGCTTTGTGATGCAGGCTGGATAAAGGATCGAATAGCCAATTAGGGAGAAAGAGGCTCACAGGCTTGAGAACGTGGTATGGCTTTGTGGGATGTCTACGGCGTGGCTACTGTCTCTTCGCCTCGTGACACGGTGGTTGCGACCTTGCTTTATAATGCCAGTGCATGTTTCATACAACTTCCTATCACGGTTTCGGGGCGCGAATGTTCCTCCAGAGGGCTATGGTCATTGTTTGCTAGCGCCGCTTTGTGCGCATGTGTATTTCGCCGAGATAGTTCCATTGTGTATGCTGTGGACGGCTCTCGTGATTATAGATACTCATTAATTGGCCCTGATCAGGGAGATCGATCTCTTGGGATGATGGCAGATCGCTCCTCTCATCGATACCGGACCAATGCACGACCGATGTTGGGGCGTTTCGCTGGCTTTGATGGAATTCGAGGCTCATGCTATAGATGCGGTGTTAGTGCAATGACAGATGTCGCGAACAACATCTGGAGCAGGCCAACATGGTTGGTATGCAGGGTGTGGATCATCGCTGCTGCAGTTCGCAGGAAGCTAGCTAGTTTGGGGAAATGGGCACCGGGGCTGCCCGTCATCGCGCGAGGGTACTCCCGTGATCCACCGAACCCAATTACCCAAAGAGTATGAAGCGTTAGGTGCTAACTTTGTGATTGTCTAAGGAAAGTCTACTATCAGTCACGGCGAAGGAGTCTCATGACTCACAGATTCATATGTAGTATGTGAAAGTGCTGACGGCGCCCGCGACATTGGCAGCTAGGATCGTACGTCGACTGAATCGTGCGCAAAGGGCCGCATATGAAAATGCTTTCATGATCTCTGGTATTTGTTAATCGCTTTCATGAGAGCCAGCGGGACAAGAGCCTCGTAATGCGCTCTTACCAATGATGGATGATACGGCCATGTTGTATGCATTGATCATGGCCAAGTCTTTCTGTACGGATATTGCTTTGCACTTGTCTTCGGTCAAGTCTGTATCCGAAGGCACAGTTCCAGGGGAACGTTGGGCGTGATAGGAACGACACAAGTCCAATTCGACGATGCGTAAGAACGGCGCTTTGCACAATGCCTGTCCCAATGACATGACCACCAGAAGGAGACCACATCCTAGAGCAGTGTGATATTTCGAGGCAAGCATGGCGTGGGAAGATTTCGAGATTTTGGTGCAAGTGGAATGGCGCTGCCGATGTGAAGATATTCCGTACCCTGTTCAACTCACGTGCCGAGCTGGTGCTGCAGCCTGCGCATCATTCATCTTCAGCCTTGATCGCTCAAGATTGCAAAAGGTTGTGTGCGAATATCTATTGCGCAGAAACCCGTTCTTCAATCACCGAAAGTTCCTTTCAATTGCTTTTCTTCCTCATCGTTCTAGAAGATGGCAATCACGGAGGACAAAGACCAGACTGTACTTATCATTGGCGCAGGCATAGCTGGGCTTGCTCTCGCACAGGGTCTTAAGAAGGTACGTAACACCACAATCACCCGCTTGCTAATTCCACTTGTTGACAAAGCAAATAGAAAGGGATTCCGTTTCTTATTTTTGAAAGGGATGCATCAGCCGTCAGCCGGCCCCAAGGATGGGCTCTCACCATCCACTTCAGTCTACCACTATTGCTAGACTTTCTTCCCGAAGACATTGCAAGCCGAATACATACCACGAAGATAGATCAGGCTCCAGGACAAGACCAGAGTCACTCAATATTTCTCAATCTGGAGACTTGCACGTCTAAATGGTCTTTACCGCCCACATACGGTAACCGCATGCGAGTCGTGCGAGGGCGACTTCGCAACATGCTCATGGAAGGGATTGAAGAAAGAATTCTATGGGGAAAGAAACTGGCATCGTTTGAGGTCGGGGCAGAAGGCGTCAGAACAGTCTTCAGCGACGGAAGTTGTTACAGCGGACAGCTTCTAGCTGGAGTGGACGGTTGTCACTCGACGGTCCGGTCCCTGCGCTACGGAGCGAAGTTCTCGCAACCCACGCCCATCCCAGCCTGCTTTCTAGGCACCCAAGCACTGGCCACGGAATCCCAGATGAAACCACTGCTTGCACTGGACCAGACGCTTTTCCAAGGCTCGCATCCAACGCACCCTGCCTGGATGTGGTTTTCCGTCATGGAACGCCCGAAGCCGGGCGGAGCGGACCCTGTGTGGCGCGTGCAAATCTGTCTCTCCTGGCTTTCCTCCAACGGGCACGCAGACATACCCAGCACAGACAGTGGGCGAATTGCCTTGATGAGGCAGAAATCGGCAGACTTCCACCCGACGTTCAAAACTATCTTCCATGATATCCTGTCTGATAGCCACGGACCCGTTGTTAACGTGCCTTTGGAATTCTGGTGGTTACCTTGTGATGACTTGCCCGGCGATGCAAAGGGCCGTGTCACGCTTGCGGGCGATGCAGCGCATACTATGCCTTTATGTTCGTGCTCCCTACCTCCTTGAACGAGCTGTTCGTTAACCTGACTAGATCGCGGAGAAGGCTTCAATCACGCTCTCATGGACGTGCACAAGCTGCTTGAAGCTATCGATGCCATGCGCGCCAATGACGCAGATAATGAGCGTATCATTCGCGACTATGAGATTGAAGTACGCGCGCGCGGTCGCCGGTCTGCGTTGATGTGTCGGGATGCTTGTCTTGAGGTACATCAGTTCGACGAACTTGGCGATCATTCCGTTGTACGCCAAAAGACTTTTGAATAGTACCAAAGCTGTTGGCACGGGCTAATTGTTTCGCCGGTCTGCCTTTCTTTCGCATCTACTCTCGTCATTCTGATTGCTTCTCAATGTCGAGACTATATCATTACTGGTCGTCAGACTATCCGTGCGCGAAGAAGGAATTAGGATCGTACTCGCTAGCCACGTGTATCCCGAACCTTCATGGGTCCGCAAGTTATGATCATCGAGATATTTGATGGTCCGAAGGACATGTCCCAAATTGGTGGTGCTTGACCAGACCACTCATTTTCAACACAGCAGTGCTACACCGCCGTCGCATCTCAAACGTCAGCTCTTTGGTGCTTGTCTCGTATCTTTGCTTTACGTGTAGCGTTGGTTCTTGAATCGAGTTGGAAAAGCATGATAGTGCACTACCCGCACATCATTGGCAATCTGTCGATCACCCGCTTCCCGAATCTTCCTACCACGTCGCAATAAGACAAAATGGCGACGCCCAAGCCTGATTGGCGAGCCTGAACCCGACTACAAGTGTCGCATGCTTCCCATTTAGGACGTGCGACCATGAAAATAGAAGCAGAACAAATTCAGTTCATCTCCGGAACTGCTACGACGGCGACGTGCTCAGACATGCTTCTCCCATGGCCCATGGCTGTGTATATATCAAAGGGTCGCTCGCACACACCCTTCACATCCTCCAAAAGGCCGATGCGAATTCATTCCTTTCCTGATTCTCGCATGTGATCATTGCAGTACGCGCGCGAGTGACTGCCTCGCTCCAAAATGTTCTTCACCATGACCATCGCCTGGAGCATGGTCAACCTAATACATGTGGCTCAGCTCATCCTGGCGATTGGCTTGAGTAGCTCTGCTTCAACACGTCTGTTTCTCTGGCTGCGGCGCTCAGACTTGCGGGAGGCATTATTCGAAAACGACCAGCGATATCAAGATGAAGATGGGTGTGCGTCGGAAGAGTCACTCACCAAGTTTTCTGATCGCTGGCCACGAGCCCTGTTTGCCACCAATACTTTTCTTGGTAGCTTGGCCGGCTTTGGGCTCGTCGTGCTTGGGTCGCGCAATAGGCTCTCCATTGACCGGGTCGTTCAATTTGGAATATGGGTAAGTTGGAATTCTTCTCTCATCGTCTTGATCCGACTAACGACGGATGCCTAGATCACGTTGATGCTACAGTCCATGACGTTGTTCACCGAGCCATCGGCTCCGCGCCGATTCGGATTAGCGCTGCGGGGCAGCCTGAACTCCGTCAACGTAGCATGCGCGGTCCTCTTCGCCAGATACAACGATCTTTCGCAATGGAGCCAGTTATTACAAGAAGAGCGCATTCTAATCATCATCGAGCTTGTGTCAGCCGCGCTGGCCGGTGCGCATGGCTTACTGCTGCCACGCCGCCCGGAGGTCTTCTGGAACGGAGTTGTTGTGGACCGACAAGCCACAAGCTCGGTATTTGGCCTACTGTTCTTCTCCTGGTCCCAATCGTCGCTTCATGTTCTATCGAAGGCAACGGCGCCGATGATATGCTGCCTTCCGGAGCTCAACTCCAGAACGCGCGCGCTTCACCTCCTGCAGCAGTTTCGGCAACATGACACTCTTCAAAACAACCCATACCCTCTCTGGAGGATGTTGTCGGTCGTTTACTCACGGAAGTTGATTGTGCAGCTGAGTCTGACTATTCTTGGATCCATCATCAGCTTCGCGCCGCAGATGATGCTTCTCGGTATCCTCAGAGCCATGGAGCGAGATACCGATAGCGAAAATAGACTGACTACGACTACTCCATGGATACTTGGTCTTGGAGCGAGCGTCATTATCTCTGCTCTAGTGGAGAAGTGGACTGTTTGGGTGTCGAGCATAGACTTGGGTCTGAAAATGCAGAAGCAGCTTACCATGCTTCTCTTTGACAAGATGCTTCGAGGCATGTCTACGGAACCGGAAGAAGAAGACGACGAGAATGAAACAAAACCAACGGACCCAGCAAGTCTCAATCTCATCAACCTGGTCGCGGCCGATACGCAACAAATCGGCAACTGCATTCGAGAGGTCTACAGGGGTTATGAGTCGCTCATCAAGCTGGCGATCTCCGGGTTCCTCATTCAGCAGCTCATGGGATGGAGAAGTCTGGTCGCCAGCATCATCATGATAGCCGCGCTTTTCGGTGCCAACGCGCTCGTTGCACGGCGACTCGCGCAAGGGCAGAGCAAGCTCATGGCTGACAAGGACCTACGCGTCTCAGCCGTCACGGAAGCTTTGCTAGGAGTCCGTCAGATCAAGCTTTCTGGAGCGGAGGATAACTGGGCCACGTATGTTTCAGACCAACGCAACAAAGAGCTGAATAGTCTTTGGGCGGTCAATCGATGGAGCATGGCCTCGAGGGCGATATGTACGCTAACCCCGATTGTACTTTCCGTACTCGTCATCTCGATACACGTACACGCTACTGGAAGTCTGAAAGCATCTACTGCTTTTACAGCGCTATCAATTCTCGGATCTATAAACGGTACACTGGCGGCTATTCCTCCCCTACAATCAAGTTGGGTGCGCGCCTCGAACAGCTTGCGACGCCTCCAGGAATACCTCTATGCGGCCGATCAGTGCTTTCCCTCGACCAACCATGATGAGATCAGCTTTAGCAACGCGACGATTCGGTGGAATGGCACAGGGCCGAACGACTTCGCTCTCAAAGACCTGACATTGTCCTTTCCTCAAGGTGCTATGAGCGTCATCGAAGGGCCCAATCGCTCTGGAAAGAGTCTACTACTGGCCGCTGTTCTTGGGGAGTGCGAGCTCGTCTCGGGAAATGTCACCAAGCCCAGCCTTGTCGCTCAGACACGAGGTGTGACAGGCGGCCTCTCTTGGCCCTTGAATGTAGCAATCGCGTATGTCGGACAGACGCCGTGGATTGAAGCTGGCACGATCATGCAAAACATCACATTCGGGCTTCCGATGCAAGCAAGGCGATACAAGAAGGTGCTTTTTGCCTGTGCCCTAGAAACGGATCTTGTAACTTTCAAGGATGGCGACTGGACCGAAATCGGACCGCATGGTGTCAATCTCAGTGGTGGCCAGCGCTCGCGTATCGCGCTTGCGCGTGCCCTCTACTCCTCCGCGGCCACACTAGTACTGGACGACATCTTCAGCGCTGTCGACGCTCACACTGCGCTTCATATCGCAGAGCACGTCTTAAGTGGCTCACTCGTCCAAGGGCGTACCGTCATCTTGGCTTCGCACCATCCCTCGCTCTACATGCCTAGCGCGAACTACATCGTTTCACTATCGGGTGATGGCCAGTACCAGTCCAGATATGCGGACGACCGCATTGATGAAGAATCACATGATATATCCAACGCCATGACAAAGATGACCCCAAGGATTCGTTCTGGATCAATTGCCAAGGCCAGGTCGAGACATTCTCGCAATCTCTCGACGTTATCTGTCACATCTGGGGAGCTGTTCGTGATTCCAGATTCCACGGGTGTCATGACCACCCACCAATATGTTGTGGACGAGCAGGAACGTAACTCGGGATCACAACACAGTACTTTGATGTTATATCTGCGGTATATTGGGGGCCTCTGGTACACACTACTGATTATACTCATATACGCGGGCTATGTTGGCATTGTCGTCGGACAGGTATGTTTTACATCGTGTACACGAGCGATGTTGTGGTGCTAACAATTAACAGTCATGGTGGATCGCTCATTGGGTACAGCAAGATGAACGAAGTACTCAAGCCATGCGTATTCCCGCAAATGACAACGGTGCCGGCCTCTTTTGGTACTTGGGTATTTACGCGGCATTTGCAATGGCGACTTGTCTTATCGGCATTGCGCAAGAATACTTGACGTACGCATCCATGTTCAATGCTTCAAGACGGTTGTTCGACATGCTCCTACACGCTGTCTTACGTGCACCCATGGACTTCACCGACCGCAACCCTCTAGGCCGGATCATGAATCGTTTCACAAGCGACACGGCGATTCTTGATGAGCAAGTGGGGCAAATCCTCGGCAGCGCTTTGACAAGTGCCCTGATGCTGATCTCGATCTTTGGGGTTGGCAGTAGCGTTAGTTGGTGGACGCTGCCCATGTCCTTACCGATGCTTCTCATGTGCACTTACAGCGCACTTCAGTTCTTTCAAGTGGCACGCAAACTAAAGCATCTCGACAACATCAGCCGCAGTCCGGTACTTGAAAGCTTTTGTTCAACCATGGATGGCCTGCCCACTATCCGGTCGATGCTCCTGCAGGAAAGATACACCATCAAGTTCGGAGCTTTGGTCGACGACAACACACGGGCACTTTGGAATCTTTGGCTTGTGAACGCCTGGTTTGGTTGTCGCATGGCAGTAATTGGGTCCGCCTTTGTGACCGCAGCCACATTGATCATCGTCGCGATGCCTGGCATCACAGTCGCAATGACAGGTTTCGCTCTGGGCTTCCTGATCCGCTACACGGAGACTATTTCAGCGTTTGTTCGCAACTTCATCAATCTCGACCTTGCCCTCACCAGCACAAGCCGCATTCTCGAGTATACCAACATACCAAGCGAGCATTACAGCTGCGGAATGTTGCCACCCGCAGCCTGGCCAGAGTCGGGCCGTGTGAAGATTTCTGATCTAGTCATCAGACACGCGCCCCATCTCCCTCCTGCTCTCAATCACGTCAGCTTTGAGATTGGGCCAAACGAGCGGGTTGGGGTTGTCGGGCGCACAGGAGCAGGAAAATCGACTCTTGCAATGGCCTTCTTTCGCATTCTCGAAGCGGAGCAGGGCAGCATCACGCTTGATGGCATCAACATTGCGGAAGTGGCTCTACAACAGCTGCGCCAGCGTCTCTCCATCATAACGCAGGACCCGCATCTCTTCTTCGGTACTGTCCGCACAAACCTCGATCCTTTTGACAAGCATGACGACACGGATCTCGTCCACGCATTGGAACAAGTTCATTGGCCCGGCTGCAGCGATGGACATCGCAAACAAACGAATCGACTATCTGGTCCTGGTCTGTTCTCAGATCCCGACGAGGCGGTTTCTAGAAGACGCATGCGTGTTCTATCGTTGCTCGAGCAACCAATCATGGATGGCGGAAGCAATCTCTCCCAAGGCCAGCGCCAACAACTCAGCCTCGCACGCGCTATCGTTGATCGCTCAAGGCTTCTCATCCTAGACGAAGCGACATCCTCCATGGATCCAGTCGTTGATGCAGCAATCCAAACGTCGATACGGGAGCTGTCCGCATGCGGGCTTGCTTCTATGCTTTTTATTGCGCATCGGATAGGAACAGTCATGGATTTTGACAAGATCATCGTGTTGGACAAGGGAGTTGTTGTGGAAGCTGGTAGCCCTAGCGAACTGCTGAAGCTGCCAGGGGGACACTTTAGAGGCCTCGCCGAAGACGCTAGAGAAACGGTCAAGGAAGCCGAGGTGCAAGAGTTGATTATTGAGACTGTACACACGAGCGAAAGCGTTTTCATACAAGAGTCTATACAGAATTCCGTTTTGTAAACCGCAAGGAGCAAAACGGAGGTTAATGTCTATGTAAAGGTTGATATCTCAAAACATCAAAAGATGTCTACTTTCTATTTCACCTTTGTACCCATCGTTACTCATTGCGCATCTCATTATCTCTGTCGCATTGAGTAACATGAACGATGACAGCGGCAACATCCCGTTGTCGCACGCGGACAGCATCTGCGACACGCTCCGCCACTAGCCGACAAAACCGACCAGCACGCACGCTCGCGCATACACCTCCTGCAAGTGATTGCAAGGATACAGGAACGGAGCGGCCGCACCCTGACGTTGGGTACATGTGCTGCAAGCCAAGATGTACTTCATATGCATATCGACTCAGCTCCACGAGACACCGTCACCCGCATGCTAACCTCGATTCATTCATTGATCAGCATGTCTTACCACTGCGTCATGAGCGCCTTTCAACATGAGAGTGCTCAAATTGCTCCGGCATGCAAACGACTGTATTGCGTAAGGCCAGCGCTGTACAGGCGGCTATGCGCGTGCCCACGTGACATCACCATCTCACTTTACATGCTCGCACTCCCGTATACGCGCTTGAAAGGACAAGCAATCTCTTGATGCAAAATCCGGACATTCCACAACTCCCCGCCACGCTTATCGCATCATGGCAAACATGGACGTAGAAGACGTCCTATCTCAATTGACGCTCGCAGAGAAATGCAGTCTCCTTTCAGGTTCGTCGTATCCTCCACATCTCGCTCTCACTCTCCACTATAACCACAAGAAGCATTTCCTCACTGGCCAAGTACTAACCACCACCCAGGCGGCTCATTCTGGCGCACGCTTGCCATCCCCCGCCTATCGATCCCCTCCCTCTGCATCACCGACGGCGCTGACGCCGTCCGCGGCAGCCGCTTCTTCAACTCAACACCGAGTGTATGTCTTCCCTGCGGCTCCGCCCTCGCCTCAACCTGGAACCCAGAGCTGCTCCAACGCCTCGGCACACTAATGGGCGAAGAGTGCTGCGCAAAGAAAGCCCACGTCCTGCTCGCTCCGACGATCAACATCCCGCGCAGCCCCCTCGCTGGCCGTATCCACGAGTACTACGACGAAGATCCATATCTTGCTGGTATGTTGGCGGGCATGTTTATCCGCGGGGTTGAGGGGACGGGCATAACGGCGACGGTGAAGCATTTTGTTTGTAATGATCAGGAGCAGGGGATTTTTGCCATGGATTGCGTGGTTAGTCAGAGGGCGTTGAGGGAGATTTATTTGAGGCCGTTTGAGTTAGCGATGAAGGTGGGGAGGCCGGGGGCGCTGATGACGGCGTATAACAAGGTCAATGGGGTGCATGTTACGGACAGTGTGGAGTTGTTGAAGGGGGTGTTGCGAGGGGAGTGGGGGTACCAGGGGCTTGTTATGAGTGATTGGTAAGACATAGTAGACAGTCGCGTCGAAGATGCCGTGCTAACCCTGCCGTCTTAGGTTTGGCATGTACGGCGTACAGGGAGCAGTCGAAGCAGGCGTTGACCTAGAGATGCCCGGCCCAGGTGAATGGAGAGGCAAGCGGCTTGCCCATGCCGTCGCAGCGAAAAGAGTCGACAAAGAATGCGTAGACGACCGAGCAAGAGCGGTACTAAATCTGGTCAAGAAAGCGTCAGCGTCGAAGATCAAGGGCACCGAAGAAGAAACACTGGACAGGTCCGAAGATAGAGCCCTCTTACGCGAGGCAGCAGCCGAGTCCATCGTCCTCATGAAGAACGACGAGAACATCTTACCCTTCGACATCAACAAGCCAATCGCCATCATCGGGCCCAACGGAAAGGTAGCCGCCTACCGAGGAGGCCGAGTAGCCCATCTACGTCCCTACAACACCGTCACGCCCTTTGACGCAATCACAGAACGCTCCCAAGCCGCCGTCCACTTCTCACAAGGCATCTACAACCACTACGAACTACCCCTCCTCGGCGCACAAATGCGAACAAAGAGCGGGAAAGTGGGCTACGACATGACCATCTACTCCGCCCCACCAGACGCAACAACACCCCCGCGCCGCCTCCTCGACCACTACGAGCTCCTCAACTCGTGCGGTTTCTTCTTCAACTATCACGACAAGAACCTACGCGAGTACTCCATCGACATCACCGGCACCTTCACACCCTCCTCATCCGGACTTTTCGACTTTGGCCTCAGCGTCCAGGGAACCGCGAATTTATACATCGACAACGAGCTCATCATCGACAATACATCGCACCAAAAGAAAGCAGACAGTTTCTTCCGCAACGGCACCGTCGAAGAACACGGAAGCATGGATGTTGTCGCAGGGCAAACGTACCAAATACTGTGTCGCTGGAATTCACCTTCCATATCCGGCGCCTCCAGCAGCGGCAGCGACGACACAGCATTTAAACCAGGGAACATCCGTCTAGGGGGTTGCCACCGCCTCGACACTTCCACCGCCATTGCATCCGCCGCCCACCTCGCCTCCCAACCCCCCCAAACCATCATCCTCGCCGGCTTCGTCGGCGAATGGGAATCCGAAGGCAACGACCGCAAAGACATGTCGCTTCCCCCTCACACGGACTCTCTCATCACCGCCGTGCTTGCCGCAAACAGTAAAGCCGTTGTAGCCATCAGTTCCGGCGGGCCTTACTCCATGCCCTGGCTGTCTGACACAAAAGCGCTCCTGCAGGTCTGGTACGGCGGCAATGAAACGGGGAATGCAATCGCGGACGTGGTGTACGGAATTACGAATCCGAGTGGCAAGTTGCCGTTGAGTTTCCCGGTGAGGGTGCAGGATAATCCTGCGTTTCTTTGTGGGCATGCGGATCAGGAGAGGGTGCTTTATGCGGATGATGTTTATGTGGGGTATAGGTATTATGATACTGTTGACCGAGATGTGCTGTTTCCGTTTGGGCATGGGCTTTCCTATACTAGTTTCGAGATCAGCGGGGTTGGTGTCGCGGTGGACGGGCAGGAACTGGTGGTTGAGTGCCAAGTTGAGAATACGGGGGAGAGGGAGGGCAAGGAGACGGTGCAGGTTTATGTGAAGAATCGGGAGGCTAGTGTGAGGGGACCTGAGAAACAGTTGAGGGGGTTTAGTAAGCTGAGTGTGGGGAGGGGGGAGAAGAAGAAGGTGGAGGTCAGGATGGGGCTTTGGGGTGCGACGGCGTGGCGGAGTGAGGATAGGGGGAAGTGGGTGAGGGAGAAGGGGAGGTACGATGTTTTGGTGGGAGTGTCGAGTAGAGGGGCATTTGCGAAGGCGGAGTTTACGCTAGATACTACGGAAGAGACGATCAGTAGGTGATTTTAGTTGTATAGAGATATGTCGTTTGTTGGCGTTGAGTCGCTGGCATGTTGTCTATTGAAAGTTCATCGCCGGGTATATATTTCCCCTCCCCCTTACTCCTTCTTTTCTCTCCTCCTCATCCTCTTAGCCACAAACCATTCCATCCCTAGGCTCCTCAACAACCTCCTTCTTATCTCCCTCCCCACTGACTACCTTCTCCTCAACCCGTCCTCCCGGCACCAACCCCACGCTCTTCACATCCTCATCCCCTTCCTTCACCGCCTTCTCCGCCCTCTCCTTCTCCTCCTCCAACCTCTTCCTCTCCTTCTTACTAACAGTCATACTCCCCTTCTCCAACGCCTCCTTCGGTAACGGCCTAACATACGGCTGACACACCCAATACGGTCTCTTGACGCGTGCGACGGTTGCGAGGGAGGATTCGTAGGGATCTAGCTCCTCCTCTTCTTTTGCTCCTTTTGCAACATTCTCTTCTTCCTTCACTGTCGTTGTGGAGTCCGGTTCGGCGGAACCATCAACTTGCTCCTCCTCATACCCCACAATCCCCTCCTTAACCGCCTCCTCCACAAGCCTCAACACATTCTCAAACGCCTCAATATCGCCCGTCCGCGACCGTGCAAGCGCATCTCGTACATTATGATGTTGAGAAACCAGCGGACGCAGTAGATGAAACAGATGAGCTTGCATAGCCGTGAGATTGGGGTTGCTAGCTTCTTTCTTCTTCGCAGCTTTAGACAACGGTTTTTGTTTCTTCTTGGGCGGGCTTTCGAGTTGGTCGGCGGGGCGTTTGCCGTTTTCGGCGGCATCCGTGTTGGTGTTGGTGTTGAAATCGGCTGTTTCTTGCGGTTGTTTTGACGAGGCTTCGACGTCGACGTCGGGGTCGCCGGGCATCCAGAGCGGTTTCCGTTGTGGTGGGTCCTGACCGAGCGCGTATTTGTGGATGATGTCCATGTACCGTCTCATGACTGCGTCCATCCTGTACCCACCCTTCCCGTCGCGACCGCGCCAGTACTCTCGTCCTTCCTGGCCGGGTGGCGGTGGTGCGGCGAAAATGGTGGGGTCGTAAAGGTTTCCTTCTGCGCTCATGACGCCATCTGCGCCTGTGGCTTCTAGACACGCGGCGATGTCTTCGTGTTGGAGGATGTTGCCGTTGGCGAATATGACAGTTTCCTTGGGGAGGTTCTCCCGTAGGTGGCGGATCATCTTCCAGTCTGCGAGGCCGGTGTTGTGACCTTTTTGTTCTCGGCGTCGGCCGTGCACTGTGATGATGCTTGCGCCGGCGTCTAATAGTGTCTTTGCGTATGCGAGAGTCTTCTCCGGTGTCTCGAGGACACGCATCTTCGCTGTGACTGGGACATCCAACTCCTCGTGTAGCTTGCGTATCATCCTTGATATCAGATCCCAGTCTTCCTGCAGGAATGCGCCGTATTTCCCTCTCTTCGCGATGCCCTGTGGACATCCCAGATTCAGATCCACCGCATCGCAAAAGGGCGCAACGTGTTTCGCCGCGCGTAGAAAGTCCTCGGGGTCGTTTGAGCAGAATTGTACAGTGAGGGGTCTGTCGAACGCGGGGTTGCCGTCGAGATGCCTTTCTGACTCGGGTAATTGTGAGAGGTGGTAGTCGTCGCTGGGCGAGGGGATGGTCGATTTGAGGGGTTGGAAGTGGGCGTCGCGGTAGTTGCTCTTTTCGCCGAACATCTTCGAGTGGAACATTGGGGTGTATGCTAGGAGGTCTTTCTGCTGAGATTCGGGGAGGAATGAGCGCGATAGTAGTCGCCATGCCTATAGACAATGATGTTAGCCATCGTCTTTCTGCGCAGTCGAATAGGTGTGAAGAGACATACGAACTCTGACTGTTCGACCATGGGCGCAAGTATCAGCTTTGGACTGCCGATACTCTCATAGAATGCGCGCCCATGTAGCTTCCTCCTCTTCCCGTTTGAATGCGCCATCCCATTACTGCTTCCATACTCTTGCGCCATCCCATCCCCAGTGTTGTGTAATGTCCCCGCCACCTCCCCATTCCCCTGCACTGCTGTCTGAGCCATAGTCGCCATCTGCGCAAAGTATCGATTCGGAGACCCCCTCACTAACCTGGGGGCGACGGCGCCCCCAAAAGCTTGGAGAAGAGAAGGACGTATGGCGACGGACGTCGAACGAAGTGAGATTGAGCGCAGCGAGATCGGTTGAGCGCAATCGTGCAGGTGTCGAGCCGGCAAGTGAAGCGCGTGGAGCAAAGTCGCAAACCCGTAAATGCCGAGCGAGTTCGAGTAAGACTAGGTCAAGCGCATAAACCAAGAGATAAACAAAGCAGTCTCGCGTATCTCACCAGATCCCTCGATGACTCGTGCAGTAAACGTCGTCGTGCTCGTCCAGCAAAAAAACGCCATCAGCACTCCACTGCATCTGACCAATCGGAGTGCGGGGTATCTCCGTATGGCACCATTTTGCGAATGAAGCACGGGAATAGTCATGGACGTTGTTTGTGGTACAGAATCATGTTTCTCTTCTTACTCTTGTATTATTGTTCTTGTCTTTCTGTTTTCCTGTCTGTGTTTGGGGTTCTTGATGCGGGTGTAGGAAGGTTGGTGGAGATGTTTCTACGACTCCATCTATGCTCGGAACATTGCAAGGGAGATGCTAACATATAACACATATGCAAACTTCGTCTATAGTTCTCAACTACTGGGTTCAGTGCCAAACAGTTCCAATGCTGTGGTACATTACCCACAAGCGGCATCCACATGCATCAAACACATCCCTTAGCCTCGCCCGACCAAACCCTGACCGACATCACGCCATCAGGGTACCACATCACAACATGCGAGTCACGCCAGCTACATATACATGCGCATGCCCACCACCTCGCTGATACACACGCACGCACGGGAGTAGAGGGAATAGACCTCCACCTCCACCCCTACCAAACACACTCGCCACGCCTACTACATGTACACGTCCATGCCCAACACCCACCCAGCCGTATCACCAACACACCTCGACACTCAAAATTTCAGAATATACCAATATAATTTCATCTCATCTCAACAAACTACAACCACCACACCATCTTCCTCGTATACCATACCACATGATAAAACACACAACAACCCAGCCGAATGAACAATCAGCCATCCATCTGCCCAAAAGACCTCCAGATCATCACGGTACGCGGTGATATGAGACGGACGCACGGCTTCCTGAAATGATTACGTGCGTCCGTCGCACATCACCACGTACCGCCATGATCCGGAGCTGGCGGTTTCCATCGAAAGAAAGACCATCTCCAACAATCATTATTCTGGATATCTTCGTCGGCCGTAAAACGCTGTGACATCTTGTCATCTCCACAAAGGGAGATCCAGACAGAGAGAGAGAGACAAAGGAAGTCTCTTAAAGTTGTCGAAGGAAAACGCTGAATCGCAAGGACAAGAGACAAAACACACACAGACCACCCCCGTGATTGATCAAGACGCCATGTTGGAAAAGCAAAGAGAGGACGCCGGTATTATGCAGTTTAGTTGATGCAGATGCAGAAAGGCTTCGTGTCGTCGAAGCAGTGAAAAGGTGGAATGGGACCAGTGCCGTTAAAGACAATACTGGGCCCTCCGGATATCATCAAAAGAGAGTACGCCAGGAGCAGGAAGTCCGTCCGTCCAGGTGTCATGAAGATATGAAGGAAGTTGTGTGCGGCGATGACAAGCAAACGCCCAAGTTTAGAAAGTGCTCCAGTTCCACGTGCCCTGGAAGCTCTGGGCCAGGCTGCCTACGCGCGTATTCTCAGGACGCTTAGCCGGCGCAGGAGTCTCGATGGACTTTGCGGGAGCGGGGCTGCTGTTGCTGCTGTCGGAGCTCTCGCTGTTGGTGCGGCTGGAGCGGAGGTGCTCCCACTCGCGGAAGGAGCTGTGGCAGCGGTCGCAGGCACGGTGCCAGTGGCCTTCGGGGTGGAAGCGGGCGAGCTCGTCGAGACGCACGTTGTTGCGCGAGTGCTGCCAGCAGAAGATGCCGCCGCACTTGCGGCAGTGGTGGCGCCGCTGGAAGAAGCCAAAGGGCTCCTGGCAGCTGGATGCCGAGCACACCGATGTGGAACCGTCGGCCTAGGGATGAGTTAGTGTGGGTTCTGGACGCAACGGCAACTCTGAAATGTGGACAAGTGGACAGGTGTCGCTAGCCCGAACAGCCCGGACTCCAGCCCTGCATCGGGTAAAAGAGTAGGTATAGGTCTAGCGTGGGGGACGACGTGTGCATGTCTCGACAGCCGGCAGACGATGGAAATTATCCGAAGGCCATGGCGAGGCGACATGCACAACATGATCGACCTTGGCCGCCGAGTTTGCCCCCCAGCGTCTTGTTGAGCTGAATTGGAGGGCTCGGCATGTCGGCTCTGCAGACAGCGGGAGGCCAGACCAACGCACGCTAGACGGTGGACCCGGACCATGTACGTAAGACGGTCCCCTCGCAGCCCAGGTGAGCACGCGACAGGGAAGCACGGACGGGCTAGCAGCGGCATAGCGGACAAGTAGGAAAGGCGCGAATACATACCTGCCAGTGGTTGCGTGTGATTGGCCCCGCAACGGGCGACAGTGGTTCGGCGTTGTAGAGGCTCTGCATGTCTTCATTGCCAATCTGCGAGACGGGCGTCGCGCTGCCCTCGTTGGCGACCCACCCGTACGTGCCAGCCGACCAGCCCTGGTTCGGGGACGACACGCCGCTGTCGACCTTGGGCGGCGACTTGCTGCTGGGCTTCTCCGTCTTGCGCAGCGCCGCGGGGATGCCGATGGCGGTACGTGGCTGGTAGATGCCCTGATGGCGGGCGAGGGGCAGGTGTGTGGTGCGCGGCGACGTGGGCGAGACGTTGGCGGGCGTGTTGACGCCGGAGTGGGTGGGCGAGTACTGCGAGTGGGTGCTCTTGCGGTAGGCGTGGTGCTGGTAGGGTGCGTGTTGCGGGATCGCAGTCGCGGTCGAGAAGGTCGTGGCCATGGTGACGGAATGAGGTTGAG